GTGTAATCAGCGCCTGCAGCGCTGCACGCTCGCTCGCAGCGCTGCAAGCTACTCCCCTCGGAGAGGCGGAGTACTTACAGTGCTGCGAGACAGCTCTCGCAGTGCGACTACACTCACGCTTCACAGCGCTGCCGCAGCAGCGCTGTGAATTGCCAAGTGTAGCCAAGGCCTAATAATAATTATACTAAAACTGTTCTGAGATTAAAAAGGTGGTAATTGCTGACCAACCACTAGTCATAATATAGAGCAAACAGAAAAGTATGCACTGAGACACTGTCTCCAAGATCCACTTCTATAAATGTCAGAGTATGCCAATCAATATTCAACAAATACCATAACACCACTTTACATACAATGTCAATCACTATCACAAAAATGCACTACAGATTCCAGCAGAGTTGCTTGCTTGAATTATGTTCTAAAACACACACAGAACCTGTGAAATAGCAAGAGAAAGCAACTAAAACAACAATTTGATGCCAAGTTAACTTTGGCTATCATTTCTTTTTCTTATGCTGTACTGCAGCCACGCATTCAGCTACATTTAGCTAAACATTCATTGCTTAGATATTTCTTTCAAATCCAATGCAAGGGTGACCCTTAACTTTTAAAGACCTCCCTGTGCTATGCCAGCAAGGTATTAGTCCCAAATTATTACTTTTCTTAAAGAAGAAACTTGAGTTGGCAGGAAACTGGAGTGAGTGCATAAGAATGGATATATTAAATCATTCTTAAAACACAAAGCAATGTTAGCAAGCTACCACAGAAGAGGAGGTTCCTACTATAACACAGACAGAATAGTTTGCTTTTTTGAACACCTGGCCACTTAAATCTATTGTAGCAAGGTAAAAGGGGATGTTATTCTTAAATTGGAACTATTTGGAAATGGTAAACAATGTAACATCTGTTACTGAACTACAAGGGGACTTCCAAGATTCCTAACAAGCACGTATACACGTTATATTAGACCGAGTACATGTATACAGAGTTCCTGCACAATTTAAACAAATTTAAGACTACTACATTGGGACAAGTTTATCTGACCTTGTTAGGATTCATACATAAATTGACTTAAGACTGCCAATAAAAGATCAAGTTTTTAAAGAAATATGAAGCATACAAATACTACCAAAATGTGTGCATAACATTTTATACGCAGATTGAATTCTCAAGTTTTTTAGTAGCTTAACACCTCAAAACTCTCCCAGCATTTCACTCATATCACTTGATAAATCTTATTGATAATCTTATTGATGATCTTCACCATGGAGTTTTTATAAAATGCAACCTTTAAGATGGGAAGGAACAGAAAAGCAATTTAATGTTGGATAAACCGTATCTTTTGCAATATTTGTCATTTAAAGTATTGTTACTTTGTGCTCCAAATGTAAAATCTCTAAACAAGCTAATTAAAATTAAATTGAAGCCTTTAATTATCATACAAATGAGAAACAGTTCTCAGAGTCAGAAGCTGGAGATGGAAATGGTCTATTAGGTTGTTTAGTCCAACCCACAAAAGAATGTGGGGAACCTTTCTTGTGCAGCACAAGATATTAAGGTTAATGACAGCCCTATTAAAATTCAGACCATGTTGTAGCTCAAAATTGCATGACTATTGAACAAGGTCAGTTGGTGAGGCAACAGAAATCTGAAGATACCTGGCATAAACATAGCAAGTGTTCTACAGATGAAATAAGATGCAGAAACTAAAAAGAAGCTGAGAACTGATGCAAGCTAAAGACAACAGTTGCACAACCAAATAACCCACTGGTGATTTGAACAAAAAAGCCACAGTTCTTGTACCCTGATAATGGCAAGACTAGATGTTCCTGAAGAAGTCCAGGGAAAGCTAGGAAGAGTGATATAAAGCTAGCATCATATAGGAATCCAGAAAGGAAGATGGAAGAATAGCTTGAAAAAAGTCACAATACTGTAATTATCTAGATTTGCACAATAATCAGCTATCATAATTCGCCTTCAGAAATCTCTCAATGAACTATAAACTGGGAAGGCCAAGAGGACTTCATATTTTTAGTCTGCGTCACAGGATCACCTGAAGCTGGTAAAGTACCATAACATCACCAAAGCAAAAAAGGAAAAGAATCTACCCGAGAACAAAATAACAAAAAACAACAGTTATTGCCTAATTAAAACTAACCAACTCATTTGCTGCTGTATTTCAAGAAGGTTGATCTTATGTTTAAGGCACTGGACTAGGACTCATGAAATAGGTTCTATTCCCAGCTCTTCCACAGACTTCCTGTATGACACTGAGCAAGCCACTTAATCTCTGTGCCTCTTTATCTTTAAAATGGAAAAAATACTTCCTTTCTCCCCCATTGTCTATTAAAAATTTAAGCTGTCCCACACTGAGAATGTCTGTGTGTTTGTGCGGTGCCCAGCAAGATTTTATTAATTGTATTACTGTGCCACCTAGGAACTGAACTGACACATGCATGGTATGAAATTACAATCAACTGCTTAGTCTATCAACTTCAGTTAATATAATAATATTACTGCTTTGATAGAAGGATGCCCCTAACAAATGGCTAAATAGTATCGTAAGAACATGGTGGGAAGGAATAGGAGGATTTATTAGGGACATACCTATCAGTCCAGGTGCATCTTTTGGGGGCCTGATTGTATGCATTGAGGTGAAGGCAGAGAGCTGAGCTATTCAAAGTCTACATGCTGCACTTTGGCTACATAACCAGGTGATTTCAGGAATGGATGCTGATGGTCATAGGTTTTGATGTCAATACAGATATATTCGTAGTGCAGAAGTTTCTTCTTGAACTTAATAATCTCATGTCTTAGAAGTGAGCTGGAAAGCCTTATTACTGTAGGACAGCCTTGTAAAATCCAACTCCCCTAGTTGACCTGAGCTAGTCTTTTTTTGACTGAAGTAAAAATCTCAATTTTCATTACAATCAACATGGTAAAGCTTGGCTAGCAGATTTGTGCCTAGATTAGTAAACGTATTATAGTTCTGCAAGTCAGGTATGTGGAGTAGAGTTCCTCACAGGCCAGATATTAATTCTTGAGCCTCTCAAACCTTATGGTTACAGGGAATAGGGTAGATACGGGGTAATTCAAAGAGTGATTGTAGGGACAAGATAAGAGGTACAAGAAATTCAGGTGGGATCTAAGCCATTAATTTCTGCAGAATGTAAGTATTCATTTTAAAAGACATGTTCTGACTCCCCCCCCCCTTTACAGTTGCAAAGAAAATATTCCAAATGTTGTTTTCCCCCATGTCAGTAAACATTCAGCTCCAGTGCAGCTGCTGCCTCTCCTACCTTGTCAAACACCAGCAAAGTAAAACTGAGAACTATAGTCTGTTTCACTGCTCAGTCAACTGGGCAGAGGTCAAATTGACCAAAAAACCCCAAGTTAACTTGACTCTGCTGCAAGGAACAGCTATGCCAGGTAGAGACAGGAACTGGAAATATTCATAGGCCAAGGGAGGAGTAGAGCAGCAGAAACCCCAGTGACTTGGACCCATGAAGAGGCTTCAATGTTGAGGGACCAGGAAAGAAAGAATAAAATCTTTCATCCTTCTGGCAACCAGAGGTAGGCTTTTGTTGGAAAATTCAAAACATAAAGCACCTTCTAGCCAACGATTTGTATGAAAGATGATGCCCCTGTACACAGTACAATTATCACATAAATCCCAATAACCTCTCCTTTAACAGTAGCTGTTTATGGTGAGAGAGTTGCTCCTGGGGACTCTGGTGAAGCTCACCACCCTCTCATTTGTATTGGCCTCTGAAAAGTAGCTGAATTCACCTGTTGAATATGGGGGAGTTTCAGTTACTCAGAGTACACATGCTTCTCATGCCCTCTCTCTGATGTTGTGCATTGATCAGTGGGCCCAGCAGAAGCCCAAGGGGGATCCCCTAGTTACTTGCAATTCAGTGGTCCCATGATTCCCTATGTATAGAAACTAAGGGGCTAGACAAGCATTTGAGCAGTTTGGCTACTTGCAATCCAGATGTTTTACCATACCCCAGGGATGGGTGGAAAATGTTCAAGATGTCCCTATCAGGCTCCCAGAGGAATCTCTCCTGCCCCACCCCATCCCCAGACTCTCAGTCCCTTCAGCCCCCAGAGGGGACCTTTCCTGCCCTCCCTCGTGGTACTCAGTCCCCACGGTCCCTGGAGGGAACCTCTCCTGCCCCCTCACAATACTTTCAGTCCCCTTGGCCCACAGGGGAAGGGGTGGGGGGGGGGCAGAGGGAAAGAGACACGACTCTCCTACCCTACAGGGGAACCTCTCCAGGCCCCCACCCCACCCGGGTACTCACAGACCTCACGGCTTCCGGGGGGAACCTCTCCCACACACACACCCTGTACTCACAGACCCCATGGCTCCCGGGGGGAACCTCTTCTGCTTCCCCCATACTCACAGTCCCTACAGCCTACGGGGGAACATCTCCTGCCCCCCACGTACTCAAAGAACCCCCACGTACTCACAGACCCCACGGCTCCTGGGGGGGGAACCTCTCCCATCACCACCACCAGTACTCTCAGACCCCACGGCTCCCAGGAGGGAACCTCTCCCCCCTTCACCGCCGGTACTCACAGACCCCATAGCTCCTAGGGGGGGGGAACTGCTCCAGTCCCCCACTTCCCCAGTACTCACAGACCCCACGGCTCCCATGGGAACCTCTGACAGTTGCCCCCATTACTCTCAGACCCCAAGTCCCCAGGGGGAACCTATCCAGTGCCCTCTATCCCCCCCCAGCTCCACCCCCCCGCATACTCACAGACCCCACGGCTCCCGGGGGAGAAAACTTCTCTCCCCCCCTCCCCGATACTCACAGACCCCACGGCTCCCGGGGGGGAACCTCTCTTCCCCCACCCCCGATACTCACAGACCCCACGGCTCCCGGGGGAACCTCTGCCACACACACCCCGGTACTCACAGACCCCCCGGCTCCCCGCACAGACCCCAGGGCTCCCCGGGGAACCTCTGCCACATACACCCCGGTACTCACAGTCCAGGTGCTTCTTCTTGGGGCCCATGACCTCGTGGGTCGTGGCTTTGCAGACGGTCTTGGAGACGGCCGAGCCGGTCACGCTGTGCTGCGCCGCCGTGATGCGGTCGGTGAGGCTCTGGCCGGACATGGTGCTGCGGCGCCGGGCTGGGACAGGACGGGACGGGACAGGGGGACGGACCCGCTCAGACACGTCGCTCTGCCCCGCCGCGGGCAGCTGCGCTACGCTCCGCCCCCGGGGACGGCCCTGTCACCCGGGCAGCGACCCCTCCTCCTGCCCCCCGCCCCCGCCCTTCGCTCCTTCCGCTCGGCCGGGGTCGGGGGACACACGCTCACTGGGCGCCGCAGGAAAATGGCGGCCGCACAGCGCCTCCTCGGATCGTTCCGGGCCGCCCGAATCACGTGACTAATCCCCCCTCGCGGCCCGGCCCCGCCCCGCACGGGTCACGTAGCTCACTCTGCTCCTCCTCCGCCCACATCACGTGACGCTCCTCCCTCCTGGCGCCACAAGGGGAAAGCTGGCACAGAAGGTCACGTGGTGCTGTGCCGCCTTGCCTGTGTCCCAGGCGGTGCCCCGGTGCCAGCCCTCGCAGTGCCAAGGGCTGATGATGCTGTCCAGGACTCCTGGGTTCAATCACCAGCGCTGCCCCGATTGGCTGGGACCTTGGACAGGTCCCTCAGTGTTGCGATGCCGCAGTTTGCAGAAGCGGGGTGTCAGCGCGGTCCCATGTCTGCCAGCGTGCCCCTGGCCGCGGTGGGAGGCAGGGTCAGCCCTTGCTGCGCTGGTGGGGACTTGCCAGGGGCCTGTCTGAATTCATCCCGCGGGCTCCGTCTGCAGCGCCCAGCACTTCTGATCACAAAATGCCCCTCCCGCCGCCGAGAAGCTACAGGAGGGAACGTAAGTGCCAACCCCACAGGCCCGCAAATGTTGTTCTTCCACTCCCAGAACTGCTTCCTGAAGCGTTCTTCCAGGTTGGGTCGGTGCTGCACCTCATCCACAGGAAGCCGCTAGGCTGGGGCGTTGATTGGTAAAGTAAACACCGAATGAAAGGGCAGCAGCGTGTAGATATGATGCTCTCAGCTCAATTTCTCTTTTCCAGGTTGTGTAAAAGTCCTCTTGATGCCAAATGGAGATCTGCACCAGGCTGAAAGATAGCTGGCAAATGCTGAACCCAAGCAAGACTAAAGCTGTGCAGGTAGGTAGAAGGAAACACTTTAAAAGAACTTGCCTCCTCTGCCGTGCCCCCAACAACTTCAAGAGAAACTCTACGACCTCATCCCCCACGAACCACCCCACGGACATTCTACATACTTCCCAAGGTACACAAACAAGGGAACCCAGGCAGACCCAATGTATTTGGCCACAGCACTCTTATTGAAGACTGCCAGGACTTGTAGACACCATCCTCAAACTAGTCACCATACAAAGCACCAGTTTCTTCCAGGACACAACTGACTACCTCCGGAAACTCCACAACATTAACAGTCTCCCTCAGAACACCATCCTTGCCACCATGGATGTCACCTCCCTATGCACCATCCCTTACAATGACAGAACAAGTGCCTGCCTTAAATAGCTAAAAGACAATGGACAATATTCAGATATCCATCCCAAACACATCCATTTCATCCTCACCCATAAGAATTTTATGTTCAACAACAAACACTTTGTCCAATCCGTGGGAACAGCTGGGTGTAGTAGGATAGCTCCCCAATATTCCAGCCTCTTCATAGGACACCTTGAAGAAGAATTTCTGGACAAGTGTACCATGAAACCAATGATATAAATGTGCTACATCAGTAATATTTTCATCCTCTGGACAGATGACCTAAACTCCTTCAGATTTCCACCACAACTTCAACAACCACAACCCATCCATCAAACTCTCCCTCTCCCACACTAGCATCAACTTCCTGGACATCATGATCAGCTTCAACAATGGAATCCTACTGACATCAAAACCAAGAAACCCATGGAGTTCCATGCTCATCTTCACAGATTTAGTAACTACCCAGACACACCAACTGTGCAACTTGCCACCATTCAATGCACTCTTTGTTGTGTAGTTTTGGCATTGCATAGTGGGGCAGAAACAGCTCACACAGGGGTAACTGGGAGCAAGGGGTCAACTTCTTGTAATGCAATGTTCTCCATCCCATAATATCTCTATCTATAATTTTTGTGCCTCTTTTCAATTTCCCATAAACCCACACAGGACTTGTTGGTGTCTGCAATCTGTGATAGAAACATGGAGCCTGCACAGCTCTGCACTATTGTCATGAACATTGTAAGCACAGGACACATGATCCTCTGGTATTGGCAGAGCCGCAGGGAACATGACAATTTCCTGTTGGTCAATTTGCTGTGGGATGTAGTGAGAACCAATTCAAGGTTGTTGTTGCTGTTCATGGAGCAGGATGGAGTGCTGCTTCTGGCTGAGATACAAGCACTGCCTGGTGAAATTGTATTGTAATGCAGGTTTGGATGTGCAAGGCCACATTCCTGGATCTGTCTGCCGCGCTTGCCCCAGCCATCCAACGCAGGTATACCAAACTGAGAGCTGCACTGACAGCGGAGAAGCAAGTGGCAATCACACTGGAAACTTGCAATGCCGGATTGCTACAGCTCAGTGTAATTGGGAGTGGGACAATCCACTGTGGGGACCGCTGTCATGCAAGTGTGCAGGGCTCTTAATCGTCTCCTGCTATGCAGGACTATGACTTTCTGCAATGTGCAGGACAAAGTGGATGACTTTGCAGCTATGGGGTTCTCAAACTGCAGTGGGGCAATAGAAAGCATGCACATCCCTACTTTGGCCCTAGAGCATATCAACAGAAAAGGGTACTTTTTCATGATTCTGCAAGAGCTGGTGGACCACCACCACTGATATCAGTGTGGGCTGGTCAGGGAAGATGCATGATGCCCTCATTTTTAAGAACACAGGACTCTTCAGAAAGCTACAAGCAAGGAACTTCTTTCCCAACCAACGGATCATCACTGGCAATATTGAAATACCAATAATGATCCTGGGGGGATCCAGCCTACTCCTTACTCCCCTGGCTCATGAAGCCGTATGCCGGCCACCTTGGCAGCAGCAAGGAAAGATTCAACTACAGGCTCAGATGCAGAATGACAGTTGAATATGCTTTTTGGTTGACTGAAAGGTTGCTGGCATTGTTTACTCACCAGATGGGGTCTCAGTGCAAAAAATATACCAAGGAGAAAACTTGCTGAAGGGTTGGAGGTGGGACGGCTGTGTGCTGAGTTTGAACAGCCAGACACAAGGGCTATCAGATTAGCTCAGTGAGGAGTGATATGGCTTAGGGAAGCTTTGAAAGAGCACTATAATAGCAAGCCACAATAATGTGCTATGGTGCACGGTGCTCAGCCTGCTGCTGCAGTTTGAGGATCTGTTAGGAATCTTGTGGTGCTTTCTGCATATCTATACATGTATCACTGGCAGTGCTCCTATTACTGTTGGGGTGCTTCCTGTACATTTTATGATGACTACACTGTTTGGCATTGATCTTATGGGTTGTGCGTGTACAAGACCACTGCTTTCTTGTAGGCAGCAGGCATTATACACCATGTGTTGTCATCTAATAAAGGTGAACAACTTTTTAAAACAAAAGCGATCTATTCATTTACAAGAACAGCTAAAAAAATCTGAAGAACTTGAAGTAAAATATAAGAACTTCAATAAGTAAATAAGAGGAAGGAACACTGATGTCCAGTGTAGCTGTGAGAGCCATGGTTGATGTATGTGAAGCTGTGGTTGTCTCTGCTTTCCCCTGGTATGGAGTGGTAGGCATGCAGGTACTGAGGCCTACATTCCCGCTAAGCTGCGTGGCCGCGCAGCAGGCTATTAAGGGCCGTGCAGGCGCGCAGAGGGGAGAGGCGCTTTGGCCCCGGCCCCACCAGAGCTGCTGCGGCAAGGGAGAGGTGCCTCTCCCCTAGCCCCACCGGAGCTGCCGCAGCCAGGGAGAAGCGCCTCTCCCCCGACCCTGCCAGAGCTGCCATGGCTGGGGAGAGGTGCTTCTCCCTCTCTCTCAGTCCTGGCACAACCAAGCTGCTATGGCTGAGGAGAACTGCCTTGGCCACAGCCACGGCCCTCTGGAGCTGTTGCGGTGGGGAGAGGTGCTTTCCCTCAGCCCCAGGCTTCTGCAGCAAGAGAGGGTGGAGGGAGTCCTTTCTCCACACCGCAGCCCCGGGGCAGCCTGCCCCCCAAACCCCTCATCCCCAGCCCCACCCCAGAGCCCATATCCCCAGCCAGAGCCCTCACCCCCCCACCACACCACAACCCTCTGCTGTAGCCCTGAGCTCCCTCCCACACCCCAGACCCACCCCAGAGCCCGCACTGCCAGCCAGAGCCCTCAACCCCCTGCATCCCAACCATCTGCCCCAGCCCTGAGTCCCCTCCCACACTCTGAACCCCTCAGCCCCACCCCTGCCACATATCATCTCCATATTGGTGCACATAACAAAATTCAGTGCGCACATGGATGTAAAAAATTAGAGGGAACACTGCCTGAGGCTATGTGGAATGGGGGGTGGAGCGAGGTAGGGAAGTGCTACGCTGCAGTTTTCCACAGACTGCAATTGGAGTCGAATGCTGGATTGTTGAATCTGGAGGTCCACAAGAGTCTTCAGTATTTGAGTTTGCTGACTGAGAAGCCCCATTATGTCCTGGTGCATCTCCCTCTCCTTTTCCTGCCCTTTCTCCTGTCTGTTCTTTCCTTCACCATAAAGTCTCAGTATTCACCCTCCAGGCCCTCTGTTCAAGGCCTGATGCAATACTGGCTTGCAGGATCTTGCAGAACATGGCGTCCTACATCTTTTTTTCCCTCCTCCTCCTCAGTTGTTCTAGTGGCGTGGAGGGGGTGCAATGGCCACAGCTACAGATAAAACACACACAGGCACCATTGTCAGTATAGTAGGAATGGAAAGCAAAACTTAAGATTCAGAACTCTCCCCTTCCCTTGCGCCCCTACAGTGTTAAACAAGACATGCTTCTGGACACTTCTGCTTTGGACTGCTTGTGCCCAGTGCCAATTTTAGCTCTAGCCGGAGTGAGTATGACACCGTTTTCTACAGGTGCTGGTGGTTTTCGCTGATACTTCACTCCTGAGGGTAACAAAGGCAGAGACTGCACAGCTGCTGCTGGCATCCCGACGTCGCCCGGGCCCATATGCCGCTAGCTTGTTTACTGCAATGAAGCCTGCCAAGGTTATCGCCGACTGGCATGGGAAAGTGTCCTACGGTGGAGGAAGAAATACGGCTGCAGTGTATCTCCATGGAAGTTTCATTGAGATCTTTCAGGAGGCTGCAGTGTACATCCCAGTGTACATAAACAAACTGCTCTGCATGCCCCCTCCCCCCCTCC